TATTTGACCTGTAGGCTCAGAGTTCATAAAAAATGCCTTGCTTCTAGATATCTCAAGCAGTCTGAAGGCAGCAAACAACATCAAAATAGTGCATCTGAAAGGCATGACAAGTCCAAAGATAACACAACCTACTTTTTCAAAAGACACATTATAAGATTAATTCCACACATTTTTTATTCCATAGTTTTAATATATGACAATGGAATGGGTTTTCCATTGGATGTAAAATTGAAGTAAACTCTTTTTATGAAACCTAATATTTCAATATAAATCATATTTCAGTCAAAATAAAACATTTATAATCAATATACAGAGAAAAATAGACAAATTTAGCCAAAGAATATTGAAATACAAAGATAGAAAAACATTACAAGATTGTATTTGTAAAGTCATCATGTAAGAGATTAATTGTGACTGTAAAATCCAATATTACAGCTTAGTGCTGCAAGAACATTATTGTGTCCTATAAAACAGTAGGATGAATAAGTACAATTTTTGGATTTAACTCATGATCCTATCTCCAAGTTGTTTAGTGGCTGATTGATTCCTTCAGACAATTTAAATTATTTGCTCGTTACTAAAGTTGATGAAGGGATGCAGTTTTGCTTTGTCGGGACATTTAAAGGAAGTTCTATTGTGCAATAATCACATACTTAAAAATGACAAAGATTTGATTTTGTGCAACCAATTAATTTAGCAACTTCAGTTTGTTTGCTTAGAAACTAATATTTCAAATTTCATAAGTTAAAAACAGGTCTATCCAAAATTAGCATAAAAATAGGAGAGAAGATAACACAAATATCATGCTGATGAGTTGAAAAGTTTTTGCCAGTTGCCAGTAACAATTCACTCATGGCATCAATGCAATTCTTTTAGCTATCTTGCTAAGTAAACAGAGGACAGCTTGCAAGGTGATATAGATTAAGCTGTCTTTCTGATTGAGAATAATTTCAAACTTTAGGCAAAGAGTTGTCCGCATGTTTGTCCCGCAATTCCAATGCTTGTTAACTTTTTAGACCTTGAAAACAGTTTGGATCAATTCATTTTGACCAAGGCATGGGGTTAAATAGTAAGAAAATGGTGTGTTTAGTAAACACTAATTGAAGGGGGAAATTTTCAATATAATTTCTGCATTACCCTGCAGTTACAAGATTTTCAGAAAACTCTCAAATTCTATCCTTTGCTGTCCACAGTGATTGTAGGATCAACATATGATGGAGAGAACAGAGAGCCCAGCTGCTGAAGGCCTCAGAACAAGGACTACCCACAAATCCTCCCCCCAGGCTGTGGGTGATTGCTGGATAGTCCTCATGCTTGCTGATCAGAAGGGGAGTTTTTCCAGCCAGACCACAGCAATCTGAATGGAAGTGTCACTGTGAGAAGCCACAGTGTTGTCCACTCAAAATGAGTGTCGTGTTGCAAAAGACTTCTCGCAATCTGCTAGGCTGAGTGTGTAACCATTTTGAAGATGCGCGTATATCAGGGATGTGGTATCTATTAAGTGTGGAATTGCCTAATGTCTTGTGAAATGCAAGAGGTGTCATGAAGTGTACATGCTCCTCTACATGACATTGGACAGTTTTGGTGGTGGTGGAGGTGGTTTATGAACAGCGACATTTTTCATTTGGCAAATAACATCGAGAATTGGTGTTTGCTAAGAAAAAACATATTGGATACACAGGGGAGATATGACTTTTCCACAGTTGATTCATCATGACATCCCTTCTTTTTGTTGGAGAAAAGGCATGTAATACCTGAGAGTTTGTTCAAGTAGGCTGTGACTGAACTAATCTAATGATTTTCATGCCTATAGAGGAAGAAGTGCTGGAGTTGGCAGTAAACCATTGGAGTCAGTCCAGTGGGCAAGTTGAAGATGGAAGCCAGCCCTGGGGTGGTGAGACTTCAATGGCATATTGCTTTCTCCGAGAAAAGTCAAGCTAAAGGGGCCAAGGCGCAAGTGTGGAAGGCAACAGTGAGGAGTGTTTGAACTTTGGAGAACTGCAGAATTTGGGATGGGAATATGTGCATCAATGCCTAAGGCAGTGAGGCTTAAATGCTAGTTAACATCTCCTACTGGTCCCAGTGTCTGTGTTTTTTGGGACTATGTCTCTGTAAAGTCGTCTTAAAAATAATGATGCCTCTCATTCTGTGTGATCCAAGGAAACCACGTTTACACTAAGTATTTATGGTTTGAGGAGCTTCAGCTGATAGTCAATGAGCTGGACTTTGATCTACTGAAATTATTATGTACCAGGATAGTTACCTGGGCACATTGTTCCAGAAAGGAATCACACTCTGTAGAAAAAGGTGTTCTGATTTATTTGGTGATCAGGGACAGATAGGCATGACTGAGAGTGAGCCAGGTAAGAGTATAGAGAAGGTAGAATTGGAGGTGTCCCAGTTCCTGTAATTGTCCCACAGGATTGAGGTTCTTGCTGTTTGTGTCTATGACAGTAGGAGTAATATACTCTCACTGACCATACTGGCCATGGTACCATGGTGCAGGAAGCCACACAGATAGAAGCAGTCTGTAGGTAGTAATGGCCAGTATAGTCAAAGTGTGGACAAAGTTCTTTGTAAGCAAGAGTATAAGTCCAGGAGGTTGTGTTGCCTGCCTAGTGCCTGGGTTTGGGAAATCTGCTCAAGGCTTGAATAGAACTTACATTGGGTCAAGTGGTAGTGGTCATAGTGTCTGGGGGGGAGGTGTGGGGGAATGGGTTGCATTGAGTTATTGTGGTCCATGTGGGTACTAGCAATAGACAGAAGTAGAGTTTTGAGTTGGAATTACAACCAGCTAGGGGTTGAATTAAGAAAAAAGCAGAACCAAGAAAAGTACAAACTTAAAAGTGCAAAAGCAGAAAAACCCAGTGTTTGCAAAAAATGTAAAAACAGAATTGAAGTCTTGTATCTGAATACCTATAGCAATTGCACAAAAAAGGATGAATTATTAGCACAGAGAGAAAGTAAACATATAAAACTTGATAGTTATTTCAAAGATGTGGTTCAAGGTGACCAAGGAGATGACCTGAATATTGAATGATATTTTGAAATTTATGAAGGGTGGGAAAAAGCAGTGAACTTATTCTGTCAGTTAAAGATGACATTAGTACAGCAGCGAGACTTGAACTTAGCTTGAAAAGGCAAACATGGAAGCAGTTTGGGCAGAGATAAGCAATATGAAAGGTAAGAGGTCACTTGTGGGAGTGGTATATTGAACGTATAACACTATATTTTCTGTCTGACAGTGTATACAGGAAGAAGTAAATGGGATATATGAGAAAAGTACTGCAGTAGACATAGGTAAATGTAATCTATGTATAGATTGGGCAAATCAATTTGCAAATATAGCCTGGAAAATGAGCTGAGAGTATATTTCACACTATTTCTTAGTGTAATATATTCTAGCACAAACCATGCAGCAGGAAGCAGGCTATTCCAGAAGGAGTTAATCAATAACCTCATAGTTAAGGAACCTCTAGTAGACAGTGATCATAGCTTGATAGAATTTCATGTTCAGTTTGAACCTCAGTTTCAGGTGAGAAATCTGAGGCCCCAAGACCATGGGCACAGAGCCTGCAAGCTAGGCATTGTAGAGTTTTTCGGTTATGTAATCCTCATGTATTGAGTTCTCGAAGGAAAAGTAGAACTTGCATCTAAATATTGTAGGGGTCAATGCTTTAGAGTTCAGATGTTTTCTAAAGGCATGTCCGTAAGTATTGAATTCTCTGTATTTGGATAGTTTGTGGTAATGCTTTGCTCTAGCATGATCAGAGTTCTGGTTGCTTACAACCCAACACACTAGATTGCTTTATAAAAACCAAAAGAGCTGTAGATGCTGTAAATCAGAAACAAAAGCAGAAGTTGCTGGAAAATCTCAGCAGGTCTGGCAGCATCTGTAAAGAGAAATCAGAATTAACGTTTCGGGTCCAGTGACCTGAGTTCACCAGACTCAAAATGTTAACTCCGATTTCTCTTCACAGATGCTGCCAGACCTGCTGAGCTTTTCCAGCAACACTAGATCGCTTTTACTGGGTAATTACAGGTAACTATAAGGAAATGAAGGCAGAGTTACCTAAAGGGAATTGAAAATTTCAGCTAGTAAGTGTGACAGTATAGATACAATGGCAGAATTTTAGCGAAATTTTTAGTAGCGCAGAAATAATTTGTTCCAATGAGATGGGGAAACATGTTTTGGGAAGAATGCTTACTTGTTAAATTTGCTTCTATTGTGCATGCTCTTGAATGTCAGCAGATATAGCCAAAATGTAAGGAAATATTACTCCATCTGTACAGGCACTAAACGAGACCACATCTGGATTAAAACAAACATTTTTGGTCTCCTTATTTGAGAAGAGGATATAATCACATTAAAAGGATTGTTAGATATCTCTTTGTGGGCTGGGGTAAAGAGGGTGTGGGTAGGGGGCAGATGTGAGTTAAGTCATTGGTTTTATTAAAGACTGAGTTAGATGAATTTTTAATAGACAAGGGAGTCGATGGTTATGGGAGGTAGGCAGCAAAGTGGATTTGAGACCACACTTAGATCAGCCATGATCTTATCAAGTGGCAGAGCAGGCCCAAAGGCTGAAAGGGCTATCCCTGCTCCTGTGTCATATTTTCTTAAAGTTGAGATTGGGTATGTAATCTGTTTTAGAGCACTTCTTCCTTAATTTTGTGGAAAGATTATTTTTTCTACCTTTTTTCTACAATATGGTAATGACAGATGAAAGGAAAATAAAATCATTCAGCTCATGAATTAATTTCATTTTCTAGTAGAAATCCCTTTCAGATGAGAATTTGATGCATCTAATTTGATCAGAAATCCATGAATATGACTAGATAAAATGGAAGCCTTTTATTGACTTCAAGAAAAGAATTGATTGAAAGTATTTTCTCTTTGGAGAAAGAAGGGTCAGGGTTAGGGTCAGTGTTAGTGAGAAGGTTAGGGTTTTGATTGAATCCCATAGATAAAACTGATGATGAATGGTAATCATTGGAATTTAATTCCAAAACCAGTTCTCCAAATTGGAAAATGATCGATATTCTTGATGTTGTTTTATATTCTCACACACATTACATGCATGTTCATCCCAGAAATGAGCAATCCGCACTGTGTAATATTTTCTCCATTTGAAGTAGTTCATGTACAAGGTCTCATTATCATTCAGCTTGTGCAGGTAGGCTGCAAGTTCTTGAGCTGATTTGAAATCATCCACATGAATGAAGGAATCAGCTGGAATGTAATTTTCATAATTTTTTCTCGATGGCCCCAAGACCACAGGCACAGTGCCTGCAAGCAAGGCATTGTAGAGCTTTTCAGTTATGTAATCCTCATGTACTGAGTTCTCAAAGGAAAGGTAGAACTTGCATCTCGATATTGTAGGGATCAATTTTTCATTGCTCAGGCGAAACCAGAGGAATTGACCATAAGTGTTGATTTCAATATATTTGTAGAGTTCATTGTAATACTTCACTCTGGCATAGTTAGAGTTCCAGTTGCTTACAACCCAACACACCAGATAGCTTTTACTGGGCAATTCAAAATCTAATGGAACTTTGCTTGCTATTAGAGACCCATAAGGCACCTGAATATCTGAATCCTGCCGGTACGTCAAAGTTAGGTTGAAGAGTTGGTCAAGTCCACTATTTCTTCGAGCGTTAGTAGGTGATTCCATATTCATCCAAACCCATTTCTGAAAAGCTGGCCGAGGTTCTGTTGGCAAGTTAGTCAAGTCCTTCCTTATGTCTCCGTGATGGAAAAGGACAGCATGGGATTTACTGTACATGTCTCGATCTACTGTCAAATAACAGTCACGGACGTTAAAATGAGACTCACAGGAATTGAGCTCAAATGTCTGACCAAAAGGCCAAAACCAAATGAGCACTATTGTGTCATTCTCTGCAGGTATAAAGGAATTTTTCACAGACACAGGACCAAAAATCCAAGTGTTTGATGGTTTGACGTACAGCAACCACGATGTTAAAAAGCATCCCATAATCATGATGGAAATTAAGAGGGTGTGTAACATCCTTTTATTGGATACTGATGTCAAAATATGTCCTGTAAGAGAGGAAAAGAGATTGTTCAGGTTCTCAAACCACCGTTTCCTCTCCATTGCAACAGCATCAAAGACCACAGAGATTCCCAATACAAATATTTATTAAATTCCTTCCTATGTCATAGCCCTCACTCGAAAGGCTTGCATTTTTTACTTAGCCTAAGTACACTGAGAAGGTAGTGATACAACCAAGTGACTTGATAAACAGGTCGGAGCGGTGACTTAAATGTTAAATTCATTTGTGTGGGTTGGAATCAAATGTACAGACCATACAAGTTATGGGCAGCAGGTTTTCTTTCCTAGTCTTTTACAAGTAACTTTCACAATAGATAAGTACTAGGGAATGACAATCTCCATTAAGATGGATTCCGACTACTACCCCATGACATTAAATGGTATTACTGTCACTGAAGTCATTCAATGCCATTACTATCACTGAACTTCCCCATTACCAACATCTTGGGGTGGGGGGGGTGGTGGTGGTGGGCTACCCTTGACCTTAAACCAAAGTGAAGCAGCTGCATAAACTTCTGTAACTACAAGAATAGGTATGAAGCTGGGTATTCCGTGGCATGAAGAGTTATAGCTGGGGGAAAGGCAATTATGAGGCGATTAGGCAAGATTTAGGATGCATAGGATGGAGAAGGAAACTGCAGGGGCTGGGCATAATTGAAATGTGGAACTTGTTCAAGGAACAGCTTCTGCGTGTCCTTGAGAAGTATGTACGTGTCAGGCAGGGAGGAAGTGGTCAAGCGAGGGAACCGTGGTTTACTAAAGAAATTGAATCTCTTGTCAAGAGGAAGAAGGAGGCTTATGTAGAGATGAGACGTGAAGGCTCAGTTAGGGCGCTTGAGAGTTACAAGTTAGCCAGGAAGGACCTAAAGAGAGAGCTAAGAAGAGCCAGGAGGGGACATGAGAAGTCTTTAGCAGGTAGGATCGAGGAAAACCCTAAAGCTTTCTATAGGTATGTCAGGAATAAAAGAATGACTAGAGTAAGATTAGGGCCAGTCAAGGACAGTAGTGGGAAGTTGTGCGTGGAGTCTGAAGAGATAGGAGAGGCGCTAAATGCATATTTTTTGTCAGTATTCACACACGAAAAGGACAATGTTGTCGAGGAGAATACTGAGATACAGGCTATTAGACTAGACGGGATTGAGGTTCATAAGGAGGAGGTGTTAGCAATTCTGGAAGGTGTGAAAATAGATAAGTCCCCTGGGCCGGATGGGATTTATCCTAGGATTCTCTGGGAAGCTAGAGAAGAGATTGCAGAGCCTTTGGCTTTTATCTTTATGTCGTCATTGTCTACAGGAATAGTGCCAGAAGACTGGAGACTAGCAATGTTGTCCCCTTGTTCAAGAAGGGGAGGAGACACAACCCTGGTAATTATAGACCAGTGAGCCTTACTTCGGTTGTGGGTAAAGTGTTGGAAAGGATTATAAGAGATAGGATTTATAATCATCTAGAAAGGAATAATTTGATTAGGGATAGTCAACACGGTTTTGTGAAGGGTAGGTCGTGCCTCACAAACCTTATTGAGTTCTTTGAGAAGGTGACCAAACAGGTGGATGAGGGTAAAGTGGTTATGTGGTGTATATGGATTTCAGTAAAGCGTTTGATAAGGTTCCCCATGGTAGGCTATTGCAGAAAATACGGAGGCATGGGATTGAGGGTGATTTAGCGGTTTGGATCAGAAATTGGCTAGCTGTAAGAAGACAGAGGGTGGTGGTTGATGGGAAATGTTCATCCTGGAGTTCAGTTACTAGTGGTGTACCTCAAGGATCTGTTTTGGGGCCACTGCTGTTTGTCATTTTTATAAATGACCTGGATGAGGGTGTAGAAGGATGGGTTAGCAAATTTGCGGATGACACCAAAGTCGGTGGAGTTGTGGATAGTGCGGAAGGATGTTGCAGGTTACAGAGAGACATAGTTAAGCTGCAGAGCTGGGCTGAGAGGTGGCAAATGGAGTTTAATGCGGGAAAGTGTGAGGTGATTCACTTTGGAAGGAGTAACAGGAATACAGCGTACTGGGCTAATGGTAAGATTCTTGGTAGTGCGGATGAGCAGAGAGATCTCGGTGTCCATGTGTATCGATCCTTGAAAGTTGCCACCCAGGTTGATAGGGTTGTTAAGAAGGCGTACGGTATGTTAGGTTTTATTGGTAGAGGGATTGAGTTTCGGAGCCATGAGGTCATGTTGCAGCTGTACAAAACTCTGGTGCGGCCGCACTTGGAGTATTGCGTACAGTTCTGGTCACCGCATTATAGGAAGGATGTGGAAGCATTGGAAAGGGTGCAGAGGAGATTTACCAGGATGTTGCCTGGTATGGAGATAAGGTCTTGTGAGGAAAGGCTGAGGGACTTGAGGCAGTTTTCGTTAGAGAGAAGAAGGTTAAGAGGTGACTTAATAGAGACATACAAGATGATCAGAGGATTAGATAGGGTGGACAGTGGGAGCCTTTTTCCTCGGATGGTGGTGGCTAGCACGAGGGGACATAGCTTTAAATTGAGGGGTGATAGATATAGGACAGATGTCAGAGGTAGTTTCTTTACTCAGAGAGTAGTAAGGGCGTGGAATGCCCTGCCTGCAAAAGTAGTAGACTCGCCAACTTTAAGGGCATTTAAATGGTCATTGGATAAACATATGGATGATAATGGAACAGTTTAGGTTAGATGGGCTTCAGATTGGTTTTACAGGTCGGCGCAACATTGAGGGCCGAAGGGCCTATACTGCGCTGTAATGTTCTATGTTCTATGTTCTATGTGCTTCACCTCCTGACTTCTTAAAGCGTGAGAGGTCGGACTGTGATAGAAGACCATCCATTTGCATTGTTGAGTACAGATCCAACAACATTCATGAAGCAGAACACCATCCAGAGCAAAGCAGCCTGTTTGATTGGCACCCCATTTAAACGATTGAGCATCATTTCTTCTGTCACTGATGCACATTGGTAGCACTGTGTGCTGTTCACAAGATGTACAACAACATGCACTAACCAAGGGTCCTTAACACCTTCCAAACCAGTGACCTCTACCACCTCGACAAATGTGGGCAACTTGATACATGGGAACACTGCCACTACTACTTGCATGCTCCACTCCAAATCATATGCTGTGTTGACCCAGAACTCTAAGGTTTTGGAGTAGATTTGTAGCTTGGGTTGTGGGTGTTAAGGTTGGTTGGCTTGCCGAGCTGGTTTGTTGTTTCGCAGACTTTTCGTTACCCTACTGGGTAACATCCTCAGTGCAGCCTCCGATGAAGCGTCAGTGCGTTTTCCCGCCTGGTTTTTAAACTCTGGAGTCTGTTTAGCTGCATTGCCTCACTTCCGGTTTTCCTTCACAGTGGAATGTATATGGGGTCGAGTTCAATGTATTTATTAATAGCACGCTTTGTGAAGCGCCAGGCTTCTAGGAATTCCCGTGCCTGTCTCTGCTTAGCTTGTCCCAGGATTTTGGTATTGTCCCAGTTGAAATGGTGGCTCTCCTTGTCCATGTGGATTGAGATGAGTGAGTATTGGTCGTGTCTTTTTGTAGCCAGTTGCGTGTTCATGTACCCTTGTTGTTAGTTTCCTTCCTGTTTGTCTGATGTAGTGTTTCTCACAGTCTCTGCAGGGGATCTTGTAGTTGACATTGGTCCTGTCCATGGTGGGGAGTGGGTCTTTAGTTCGGGTAACTAGTTGTCATAGGGTTGATGTGGGCTTGTGTGCCACTCTGATGCCCAGCGGTCGTAGGAGTCCTGTGGTTAGTTCCGATGTGTTCCTGATGTAAGGTAGTGTGATGAGTGTGTTGGGGTGTGCAGTATCTTCCTGATGTTGTTTGTGTAGGCATCTTCTGACCCAGTTTTTTGGATATCCATTATCCTTGAAAATCTGGAAGAGGTATTCTTCTTCCTCTTGGCCTTGTTCTGTGTTGCTGCAGTGTGCTGTTGACCGTTTAAATAGTGTTTGCACGCAGCTTCGTTTGTGTGTACTGGGATGGTTACTGTTGAGGTTCAGTGCCTGGTCCGTGTGTGTGGCTTTTTGGTGTCCTTTCATTTGGAGTTCCCCATTTGTCTTGCGCTCTACCATGACGTCCAGGAATAGGAACTGTTTGTTCTTCTCCTCCTCTCTGGTGAATGTTATTCCAGTGAGGGTGTTGTTTATAAGTTTGTGTGTCTCCTCTACTTTGGTCCGTTCAATGATGACAAACGTGTCATCCACGTAGCGTATCCATGGTTTTGGTTGGATTAGCGGAAGGGCCGTCCTTTCTGGTCTTTGCATCACTGCCTCTGCTATGACTCCAGAGATAGGTGATCCCATGGGTGTCCTGTTGATTTGTTTGTATGTTTGGCCATTGAAAGTGAAGTGGGTGGTGAGGCAAAGGGCCAGTAGTTTGAGCATGTTGTCTATGGAGATGGTTTCACTGGGGTCTTGCTCTTGTTCCAGTAGTGTTGTCATTGTTTCCTTTGCTAGTGGTATGTCTATTGATGTAAGTAGGGCAGTGACATCAAATGATATCATGGTCGCCTCCTCGTCTATCCTTATGTCTTTGATGGAGCTGAGGAATTCTTGGGCTGAGTGGATTGAGTGGGGTGATATGTTGACTAGGTGCCTGAGTCTCTTTTGTTGTTCCTTGGCTAATCTGTGTGATGGGGTACCTGGTAGGGAGACTATGGGTCTAAGGGGTACTTCCGGCTTGTGCACTTTCGGGAGGCCATAGAGTCGGGGTGCGTTGGTTCTTTCGGGTTTCAGTCTTAAGAAGTCTGCTTTGTTGATCTGTCCTGTCTGTTTTAGTCTTTTTAGCCTGTAGAGGATTTTATTGCCTAGTTGCGGTGTTGGGTCAGTCTGTACTGGCCGGTATGTGTTTTTGTCAGCGAGCAGTGCCTGTGCCTTGCAGATGTAGTCCCATTTATTCAGTATTACCGTCATGCTCCATTTGTCTGCGGGTAGTATTGTGATGTTCTTGTCCTTCTTCAGTCCTTCCAGGGCCTGTCTTTCCAATGTGCTGAGGGTGTGGAGTTCGCTCCTTCTGGTTAGTGTCGGGATTACTGTCTGTCTTATCGTTTGTTGTGTTTCTTCGTTG